AGTTGCGAATAAAATTTCAAGATAAAATTGCTATTTATCCATTTATTCTTGCCTTAAATATAATTTTATATTGACCATACACCAAACAGCATGCCGGTCACCTAAAATACAAGGCAAGCAAGGCACGGAACCCTTCTATAGTCTAATAGAATTAGATGAATGGAATTATTGCAACAGATTCTGGTAAATGGCTGCCCCTGTGGGTACCAACCAGGGGGCAGGAGGCAGCCAGAAAGGCTTTATAGAGATGGACTGTTGCTCTGAGTCCTGCGGGTAAGTATGTACCCAGGGGCTAGGTGAGGGGAGGGATCTCCAAAGGTGCCACTGCAGAGCCCAGCAAATTTGGGAAACCGGGCAAGTATGCGGCATCAGGTACCCACGCAGGTGCGGATTACAGAGATGATGTTGGACCGGGAGGCTGGGGCCACCTCATGGAATGGCCAAGAGATGGGGAGAAGGGGGCATGACAAGGACTGTGGAATTTGTGCTGGGTGCAAAGGGAGCCTAGCGGGGTGGTAATAAAGTCATTCTGGCTGTGGGAGAAGGATGGACTGAAACGGTGTGAGCCAAGGGTGGGGAAGACTGACAGGAGATTATTTAATGGGCCCAATCGAAGGTAGCACCAGTGGCAGTGAAGAGGAAAGCGTCTGTGCAGTGACCTTGGAACTGGCTGCAGCCGCCCCCCTGGCTATTTGGCTACAGACAAGGGAAAGGAGGGATAGCTCTGAAACAGGTGGGAATTTTTTTTTTTAAATCCACAAATGGTATCTGTCCTTCGTGGAAGGAAGAACAGGAACACACGTACATCTAAATTTTAACTCAGAAGACTACAAGGCAAATGCTTGTTTAAATAGACTCTGAAAGTCCTCATTTAATGTTTGCCCCCTTTCTGCTGTTTCGTGTAGGATGTCCTTTTGCACTATTGACAGCATCAGATACTTCCTGGCTTTCTAATTCGCTTGACTTTCTTGATTTAGTGAGTGGACGCTGAGCCTACCTGAGTTTGTCTCCGTATTCGGGTTTCCAGATCTCTATGCGCTTTGAGAGAGAATGACAGTGTTGTCATTGAGTTTATCTCTGAAACCGTGACTGGGCAGATCCCACCCTCGTAAGCTTGATCTTTAACTGTATCCTCTACAATATTCTAATGGAAAAACAGCAATCCATTTGGTTCACAGCTGCTTTCTTTCTAAACCTCTGTAAGACCAAGAGATGGAAAACAGTGGGAACAGGTAACAAGGTTTTCAGCCACCTCTGTCACCTTGCTTTAGTGGAGATCTTTCTATATTAACTGAGCAGTCACTATGATGCAACACTGTACCAGGTGTTACAACTGTCTTCCTGTTTTAAGATGTTGATTCCTTGGGAAGGATCTGTGGGTGTGACGGTAGTCAGCAGAGCCACGGACTGTACAAGAACAACCTGCGCTACTGGGCACCATCACGTGTGGGGCTATGGGTCACCTGGCGGTGCCCGCTCTGCCCGTTCTGGCCTCCTGTTCTGGGACAGCAATAAAGCTCCCTGCTGCCAGGGGGCTTACAGGGCTCTGGCTACTGTGCCCTCCCCATTCCACTGAGCCAGGCCTCCTACCAGTTTGAACTAGCCATGGAAAGAGCCTTCTGGAAGTGGGCTGCAGGAGGGGCCAACCCTTGTCCTGGCCGTGTGAGACTGCAGAGGGATCCCAGGTAACTAGTGTGTGTGAGTCGGGAGGCAAAGCACATGGTGGCTTTGGAACATCGGCTTGGCTGGAGAAGCAAGCACAGAGGTGGGAGGTGATGGAAGGTGAGACTGGGATATCTATAAATTAATTGCATTCATTCATTCATTCGTTTAGGCAACCATTCATTCAACACATTTATTGGGCACCCCTACACCATCCGGCATTGGCAAATCACTGAGCATACAGCCCTGAACAAGGCAGATTAGTCTTACAGTGCCTGTCGGGAAGCACTTAGTGAGAAGAATTCAGTGCAAGCATGTTACTCAGATTTGGGAGTCCCAGAGGGCTTCAAACAGAAGAACTCTAAAATTTGAAAGATGAAAGAGGACCAGACAGATGAAGGCCTAGAGGGGAGAAAGTGGGCTGAGAGAGGCCCACCAGAGCACACTCAAAGGGAGAGGGCAAGCAAGCATGTCCAGTGTGTCACGGGCCAGGAGACTGGCCAGTCCCAGGCCACAGCACCCTCCTGAAGATGACTTCATGTCCCAAGTACTGGGTTGAACCACATGAAGTTGTCATTTGTCCAGGTCAGAAATGGTCAAATGCCGGCAGTCTCACGTGGTTCAAGCTAATATTAACACTTCTCCAGATGATACTCCTTAGCCATTCCCCTTCTTAACTAGTTTCTTTCCAGAAAAAGCACAATGGCATTGGGAAGTGTAAGGGAACAAGTCCAGCAGGAGTAGGGCGGTGATAGGGAGTGGTGGGTGGCACTTAAGGACAGGCAGAGGCCATGTGAAAGAGCACACCTCGAGCCACAGGAAGGCATTCAGCCTTTGTCCTTAGGACAACAGGCAGCCACGTGCAATGACAAGATGGGCATGTTAAGATGCTTGCTCAAGACCAGCTGGAGAATGCAGTGGAAGGGAAACAGTGGAAACAGGAAAGCAGAGAAAGCTGCTATTATGATCATTTGGCAGGAGAACAGGGCCCACACCGGCAAGGTAAAGTAGGCGAGCTTGAGAGACACCAGAGGCACGACTGGCAGGACTCGGGGCGAGCTGGAGGGGAGACACAGGGCAGCCAGGCAAGTGGCGCGGTGGGCTGCGCACCAGGCTGGATACATGGGAGGAGCAGCCGGCGTGGAGGGAGAGAGGATGCGTGCTGGGCATGACTTGGTTTCTGTCCACCGTTCCCGGCTCGTAACTCCCACAGCCCTTGTTATTTCTCCCCAAGGCAGGCCATGGAGAATAAGCATTTACTCTAATCCTTTCCTACCTTCCTGTCTCTGACCTACCTGGTCTGACTGTGAGTCATAAGACCCCCATTGCAGAAGGAGCCCGGCCCCATATGCTGGCGGAAGGGATGCTGCACAGAGAGGCCAAGAAGAATCTGAACGGACAGGCCTTGCTGAGTTTCCCTCCTTGGCCTGTCAGTATTAGATTGTACCTTTAGTCCATGCTTCTATCATGCCTATCCAAAGACGTCTCCATAAAAGGCCCAAGAGGACAGGGAACGGTGAGCTTCTGGGATAACTGAACACATGGAAGTTCCTGGAGGGTGGTGTGGCCAGAAAGAGTGTGGACGCTCCAAACCCCTTCCCCATGACTCATCCTGTGCATCACTTCCTCTGTATCCTTCGTGATATTCTTTATTAAACCAGTAAATCTAAGTGTTTCCCTGAGTTCTGTGAGCTACTCTAGCAAATTAATTGAATCTAAGGAGGGGGTCTTGGGATCCCTGATTTATAGCTGGTCCATGAGAACCATAGGAAACAACCTGGGACTTGCGATTAGTGTTGGAAGGTGGGGGCAGCCTTGGGCTGGGCTCTCAACCTGTGGGATCAGATGCCATCTCCCGGTAGGTAGTGTCAGAATTGAATTGGAGGACCCCCAGCTGGTGTCCACTGTAGAGTTGACTGCTTACTTGGTGGTGGGGAAAAATCTCACAGAAGTCTTGTGTGTTGATTATTGCATCGTGTGTCCAACCAGTTCTGCTGATAAGGAGAAGGGAAGGAAGAAAAGGGAACTAATGTTTGCCTAGTGCCAACCATGTGAGTGCTTTACATGCAATATTTATCTAGATCAGCATGCTGACCCGGGGAGGTAGGTCCCCTTCCTCCAGTTTTGTAGCTAGAAAAACTGAAGATGAATGTTTACTTGAGGTTAGGTATTAACAGCTTATAACTGGTAGAGCTACAATTTCAAAAGGCATCTCTCTACTAATACCCGTGTACTATGGCTACAACTTGCTGCCCAATAACCTGATGTAACTTATGATGTGTGCGGTGCTTATGGCTAAAACAATGGTAGCCAAGGGCAAGATCAAGAGTGATATGCCAGAAACCTGCCTCAGAACAGATGGGAGAGGAGGAAGACCAGGCTCAGAGCAGAGCACTTGATCCAGATGTGTTCCCTCTTTATCCACCCACCCCCCACCTCTGCTAAGTCTGGGGCCATGGAGGTAGAGAAAGAGCAAGCAGTGGATTAAAGCACTTTCTTTCCAAGCATTGGAATAAATCCTGTAGTACCTTGCTCACCCTGAAAAGTAGGGCTCAGCAAGGCAGGCCCTCTAAACATCTCCCAAGAAAGAAGCAGCATTTCAGCTGACGGCATTATCCTAGCAGAAAAAGGCTTAAGGCATAGCCTATATAAAGAATTACTTAACAATTTCCAAAATAGTAGCAAAATGGTCTCCATAAAACTAAATGACTCCCAGGGAAGAAAGCACATTACATTCTCGTACTTGTTTCCTTAATCAGGAACAGATTCTGATGACTTGGATTTATTTTCATAAGTGCACATCCACAAAAGGCAGAAACATCTTGACATGTTGCAGCATCCCTAACATTTCTCAAATCTGAATTCCTAATTGGGTTAGGAAAAAAAAAGCCACCAGGAATTTTCACGCTGGTTTTGATTCAGGATTCAAAACAGAACCTAAGACGTGCATTTCTATATTGTTCCAAACCATGTAGAAACTGGTTCAAAATCCTTAAGACCCCCATCAGACACTTAAAAAAAAAAGGAAAAACAGACAAGGGATAAATTCTGAATTTAATATACCAAAGAAGATTCTTCTCTTTCTTATAGAACATGAAAACTATCCTGTGATCTCCCCAAGACACTTTTAAGTGTCTTTATCTATTTACTTTTTAAAAGAGAAGATCAGGGCTGACACCTGCTTCTTCACTTATGAGATTCAGAGCACTTTTTTGTGTCTTTTTTGTTAGTTTATTATAGAAACTGGCTAGCCTTTTTCATCACTTTAACTAAATTCTGTTATAATAAAGAATCCAGATGTGCCATGGAGTTGATAATCCAGAAATTATTATCCTTACCTGCACAGTTTACCCTCAAGCATTTCCATGTATTTCACAGTATTTTCCTTCACACATGTTTCTGCAAAAAAAAAAAAAAAAAATCCAAAGTGAATGCAATTGCAGTCAAAATTGAATAAAGCCCAGAACTATTCAACTAAAAGCCCAAAAACCAAAGGATTGTGGTCAAGCCACTGGTAATAATAACATCTTATGTTTGGAAAACACTCAAATCCATTGGATTGGCTGCCTGGAGTCATGAATTGGGAAAGATTCTGAGCTCCAAGTGTCTCTGCAGGAGAGAGTCAGAGGCTAGGGGCAATGGCACGGTGCCACCCTTGTACCCTTTTGTACACTCTTCTATCATGCCTATCCAGTGAAGTCTCCATAAAAGGCCCAAGAGGACAGAGTATGGTGAGCTTCTGGGGTAACCGAACATGTGGAAGTTCCTGGAGGGTGGTGTGGCCAGAAAGAGAGTGGACGCTCCTTCTTTCAAAGGCAGTTCACTGATAGTCTATCACTGGCTCACGTGTACTCTGTGCCTCTTCCCTTTCCCACCTGGTAGCCATGAGCTCAGTTGTAGAATACAGGAAAAGAGCACCCAAGAGTAGAGTAACCCCCATTCTATGGATGAACCAGTGGTGCTAGAGGATTGTAGACAGACCCTTCCATTGTGAAACAAACAGAAACATGGGATCCTGCCACTAACGAGAAATTGATTGGTCAACCTCCAATGAGTGATGAAATCAGCTACTCCTTGAGATAAACTCAGTGCTTAAACTGAGTGATTCCTGAATCACCAAATGTCAAGGGAATAAAGGATTGCTACGGTTCAATGGGTCTCAGAGGCACTTTACGAATAAAAAAAAAAAGATTTGGTATGCCTGGAGCAAGTTCTGATACCCTGCACTTCCTCACCTGAAAAATGAAAATGTCTTCCCCTCTCAAGGTGATGACTGCCAGACGCACACACAAGGTGCCTGGAAGAATATCTGCCGCCAAGGGGTTTCCAGCAAATAGTGGCTGTAATTACCAATGGCGCTGCCATTTCTATTGTTACTATTATTGTTGTTATTGTAGGTTTTCTCACTATTTTTATTCCATCCTTTATTCTCAAGGTAATTTATGCTGAAGGGCTCACAGGCACTCTAGAGTCGGGGATGTGCAAAAGCAAGGTCAGGCCACCTGGGTCTGTGCTTCTGGGGTCTCTGGTGACCCCCAGGATCCTATTTCGGTTAACGTGTATGTGTTGGGGTGAGGGACAGGGGTATACTTTTGGAAGTGCAAAAAGTACCCTGAAATTCCTCATAAAGAAACTAAGTATTTAGATGGACCTTGAAACAATTAAAAGTTCTGATCCATTAGTTCATAAAAGATAAAAAGAGAAATTCACACCATGAAAGCAACTGTTTAAATTGGTCTCTTTATCTTAGTGACTTATGCTGGCCTAACCTACAAACTTAGCTGTGCTAGGAATTTTTCCAAATAAATTAGTTAAAAACTTTGGTCTTTTTAGCACCAACTATGTGTCAAGTATTGTGCTAACATGGGGATTTTGTTGCTGTCCTATGGTTCTACAAAGCAGAGATGTGGCCAGGTGTGGTGGCACACACCTGTAGTCCCAGCTGCTCGGCTGAGGTGAGGGAATCACTAGGTGCCCAGGAATTCAAATGCAGCCAGGGCTCACATAATGAGACCCCATCTCTAAAAAAAATTTAAATAATAACTAAATAAATAAAATAATAATTTGGTAAAACAAAAGCAAAAAGCAGACATCTGCTCCCCAGTTAATCTGGAGCAAGTATTACAAGTTCAAAATGTCCCAACCAGAAATGTTCTCCCCGTTTCACATCCCCTCATATGAATGTGACACACACTGTACTAAGTGTGTGGGATAAATCAGTGAACAGAAGGAAAGATTCCTGCTTCCATAGGGCTTTCACTCTGACAGGGAGACATGATAAAGAGTAAACCTAAAAGTTCCGTAGAATATTAGAAGGTGGGAAGGACTATGGAGATTAACCAAAAAAAAAAAAGAGGCTGCAGAGTGGTCAGGGGCATCCTTGGGAAAGTGACATTTCAGTAAAAGCTTGCAGAGGGCCAGGGGAGGGAATCAACAAGCATCCTAGGGAAAGCAGAGCAGGTGCAAGGAGCAGCCAGTCAGAAGTCCCTGGGGCAGGAACACACCTGAGTGCTCCAGTCAGTGTGGCTGGAGCCGAATGTTCTGTGGGGAGAAGAGGTGAAGGCGAGAAATAGCCCAGGCCAGTCACATGAGCCACGGTGGCCGGTAGTATTCTCAAACCAGCCAGGGCAATATTTCTGGTCTCACGCGCTCTTCCAGAACCTCACCACTCCCCATCAAGAGGTGAAGCCTATTTCCCTCCCCTCGAATCTGGACAGGCTATGACCATTCCATCCCACTGAGTATGATGGAAGGGATTCTATATAGCTTCTGAGGCTAGAGTCCAGCTTCTGCCTGGCTCTTAACGCAGCCACCATGTTGTGAGGAAGCCCAAGCCACACAGAGAGGCCACCTGTGGGTGATATCCGGGCAGAGATCTCAGCCTATGGCCAGCATCAGCCTCCAGACAAACGAGTGAACAAGATTTCAGACTATTTGTACCTTTGCATCTGAGGGACCCAGATATCATAGAACAGAGACAAGCCATCCCCACTATCCCCTGTCTAAATTCCTGACTCTCAGAATTCATACACTTAATAAATGATGATATAAAGTCATTAAGTTTAAGGATGCTTTGTTACACAGCTGTAGCAACTAAAAGTCACTGTCAGGATATTGAGTATTCAGAGTGAAATGGGGAAATACTGCAGAAGAATGAAACGAGATTGACTTATGGCTACAATGTTGAGAATAGAGCATAGGAGGATGGGGTGGAAGCAGAAAGACATGGAGGAGGTTACGAATCATTCAGGAAAAGGTGATGGGGTGAAGCAGAAGAGGAAAATTCCTATCTTTTCCTCACCCATCACCAAGGTCATGGCTGACACCGAAATAACGAAAGGCAGATTAACTAGAGAAAGCCACAACAAATTTATTTAACCAAAGTTTTACATGACATAGAGCTCTCAGAAATGACAACCCAGAGACCCAGGGAAAACTGTGTGTTTTTATGTTAGGTTCCATGAAGAAGGGACAGTAGTGTAGAAATGTGATGAGACAAAAAATACGATCTAATGGTAATAAACTGGGAGAAATTTAGCAATGGCCTGTTTGTTCAGATTCTTCTTGCCCTCTTTGCATAGCATTCGTTTCTTCCAGGTGTGGTGCAGGGCACCTGTCACAGAGGGTCTTATGACCTGCTTTCAGGGGAGTAAGGTCAGAGGTTCCTCTATGGCTGGCCATCACACAGAAAGGTGCAGGAAGGTCAGAGAGTGACAAACAGGTGCTTCTGCTGTCTTCTCAGTTTCCAAGGTGCTGTATTTTGGAGTAGCACGTTCTAAGCCCTAACAGGGACTTAGACCAGGGTGTTATCAGGAGTTGGTGATAAGTAGACAGATTTTAGGTCTATTTTAAAGGTATAGACAATAGGATTTCCTGGTAGGTTGAATGTCAGGCAGAAGACAAAGAGAGAAGTCAAGAATGACTACAGGTTTTTGCCCTAAGCTATTGGAAAAAATAGAACTGCCATCAACTGAGACGGGAAGAATGATAAGTGAAACCGGTTTGGAGAGACAGGCAAAAGTTCAGTTTAGGATTTGTTAAATTTGAGAAGTTTATTAGACACCCAGTGGTGATGTCAAGTGTGAAGTGAGATATCTGAGTCTGGAGTTGAGAAAATTCTGGAATGGGATGGACATTTGGGATTGGCATTTGAAGCAATGAGCTGGACAATATCACTCAGGAAGTGGGAGTAACTTAAGGAGCCCTTGGTGACCATATACAACTACGTTTATATTGTGACAGCGCCTTCCCTGCAAAGGACATAAACGGATAGCACCTCCCTTGAGGAAAAGAAAGCCATACTCTTAGGTTTAGAAGTAACTTAGATGTCTACCAAACTAACCATTTCATTAAGAAACTGAATGCTAAATCCTTGACTCATCTAAGCACATGGAGCGCCAGTTGGTGACCCTGGACCTGCATGAAAGCGTACAGACAGGTTCGTGTACTTTTCCACTCGCCTGGAGGCTGCCACCTGAGGAGGAGGCTGTGTTGAAATATTACTTTCATGAGACCCTGACCCATCTCCCAGCCAGGCAGCCTAAAAGTGCCTTGTGCATGTCTACCAAGTTGACTCGCAACCTTCAAGACAGGCCAGGACGGTAGCCAGGGAGTTTAGATTTTAAATTTCCTAAATAATATGCCCACAGACACACCGACTAAGAATAGAGCTCATCTTTTCTTCTCTGCTCACTCCCCTGCTGTTTTTCCTTTTCCTACCATCTTAGGTCCATTAGAGCAGAGACCTGTGAGAATGTCGGGGTGGTGAAGCCTGGTTCCAAGAGCCAAGGTGGGTGCTAAAAGAAATGCTGAATGCTAAAGGAAATGCCAGGAAAACACACAGGACCAGAGGACCCCTGGCCTCCTGATCAGAAAAAGGCTGGAATAATTCACTTCTCCCATTTGCAAAGGCAACCTGATAGCCACATTCAGGCCATAATATTAATAACAGAATGGAATTCATATAATTAGTTTTACGAACCCAATTAAACAAAAATTGATTGACAAGTAAATGCAATGAATCTGTGAAAACATTTAGCATTGTGCATGGGAAAACATAAATCAATGCTAAAGGAATTTAATCTGGGTCCTGCTTCATACAAGGTGCTGTACTTGGTAGTATTTAAGTGTAAAACGGACATGGTTTCAAGGGACACAGAGATAGCTGTGGGGCCAGACTCTTCAACATTGATTGCTCACTGGAGAGCACAGCAACATTTTCCATAAATATTCATCATAACCAATAATCCAAAAATATCCCTATGAGTCTGATGGTAAAAAAAGAACCACACTCCCCAGCCAGATCCTTTTCAGCATAAACAGGGAGGTTGGAAGGTAGAAGAATGTCAACACGGAAGGTAGGAGGATGTTAAGCTAAGCGGAAGTAAGTCCAACTAGGT